GTGTTGGCAGCTTAGAAGGAGGGGGGAGAAAAAATATATAGAGCTGCAATAATGGCCTGTTTATTTGAAGCTCTGGCAATTTATAACCAATTAAACCAGTTGCACACATCGTTCTGTACAACATGTTAATGTGTTCCTTTACCATTTCATTACATAACACACTGAGAAAAATATTCTTACCGACTTGTAATGGTAACAGTAGTTAGCCAGCTCACTGAGTAAGCAAATCCCATTTGTTTTCAGACTTAAAATCGCAACACAGTTAAATTTGGTGATGTCATTCCAAAGCCAATAGAGCACAGGATATCAGCACAATGTTTCAAACTTTAAAACAGATCATTAGCCTTCCCCCAAGCTAATAATATGGATTGTAAAAACACCATTAGGCTATACAAACTAACTTAATGTCATAGCACTAACATCCAACAGTGCTAATCAAACATCTTGGATTTTTAATTTTTGTGTCTTTTTATTTATTTGATAAATGCCAATAATTTAACAGTAGCGCTCATTGTGGAAAATACAATAAACAAAAAGCTACATATGGTCAAAAGCATCTGGGGAGCAGTTTATAATGCTAGCTTAGCTTGAGCCTAATTGTGACGTTTTCCAGCAGCCAAGCTAACTTATCATTGGCTGCTTTGGGGGAACAGTATCATGGCAGACTGAAAGCAGACCTGTGTGTTTACTATGATGTAATCCATATCTTGTTGCCACTTGTGTTAAATTAGCGGTACACCTAAAAGTGTAATAAAGTTTAATGCGTGTATCAGCCATGCTCTGCCTGCATGGAAAAGAACTGCTGATTTGATACAAAGAGAAGTAAAGAGAGATTACATAAAGCCAAACCCAGCTCACTTAATTATTTAGGTGTTTATACTCATTTAAGTATATTTGGTTTCCTCTATTAACTGGGTAAATACCACGTAAATCTGATGAGACTCTTGAATTAAATACCTTTGGTCAAAACTGTCTAAGTTAGTTCAGATGCTTTCTTGTTCTCCTGATTTCTGTCAGGTTAGATGTTTTTAGGTGGATAGGCCTCCCCACCCTGCGACAAATGAAGCGAGACTTTAAATTTACTGCTGATCTGCCAAAGGTTTTATCCACCTTTCAGCTGTTATGAGATCAGCCTCAATCCACATACAGTATTCATGGATGACAATGAATTTTGAAAGCTGAGATGACAAAGAACAAGTATAAGTATAGCCTGATAAAAACCATGCCTCTTTCTTCTACACTTTGCTTCGTGCAGCAGGATCGGGGTCTGGAGAAAGGATTGCTAACAGAGTTGAGGTTTTAAATGTTCTAGGCTATGAAGCTTACCGGGAAAAAATAAGCTTACTGGAAATTGTCTGCTCTGTAAACAACCGTCCTCCAATGCAAAGGGAGAAGTGCCAAACCAAACGAGGCAGCTGTTCATGTTAATTCAGTATTTGGCAGCGTGGCCAACGCTGGCTGAACGGATTCGTTCACTTCCTCCGCCGCCATTGATAAAACATGTGAGTTTCCCGTTTTAACCTGAACTAAAAAGAAAGACTTAAATGTGTTTATTTTTTCTCCACCACAGCCGAGCAGAGAATGAAGCGAGCTGCCAGCGAGCGAAGGAGGGAGTATAACGAGGAACAGAGAGACGAATACGAGAACTACCTTGAGGAAGACCGTGATGGTAAGACAATAAGTTAGACCCCAGCACATGCTTTCAGAAAACCCAACACTCTAACGACATGGCTGAACAAACAATGCATTAAGAAGCAGCTAAACAGCTTCAGTTTGGACTTGGAGAGGATGATTCCTCTGGACCGCAGGACGACGCGCGCATTCAAAGCGTCTATTTGCGGTTCACCGAAAGCTGACAATCATCTCCGGAGTGGTCAGAAAGCTGTGATATGGTTGCAGTCACAGTTTCTAAACTGAGAACTATTTACCATAAAAATGTGATTTGGCTTCATATGAAGGATGTTCAGGGAGGCTCGTGGAGAAAACAAAAAGATAGCTGCCAGTTTCATTTATGTGCAACCATTAGGGATTATCTTTGTTGTCTTCTGACAGGAAATACCATAAAAAAAAGAATGAAAAGATAGGTATGCAAAATCCTTGCATCTTTAAAGAAGTGTCCACAGAAAATTGCTTCATACCCGTAGTGGCACTTCTGGTGTAAAAGGTTTTACAGCTGTACTTTAAATTGATTTGAAATTAAATTGAAAAACCTGCAGACAAGAAAGCAATACCCAAGATCTCCCGGCTGGCATCCCTGATTGCAGTACCAACAACGTATGATTAAAAATGCAAGAACTTTAAAAGAAGGTTGTGGTAGAAAACCAAAATTGCCCCCTATACATGCAAGAATAGTAGTGTGAGAGGCAAAGTGGAAGCCAACCATCACTGGTACTTTTGGCAGACCAGCATCTTAAAGAAGACATGTGAACAGAGCACAATGATGGTTTCTGGATACCAAGCAAGGCTTATCAGGCTTTTCAAAATCAGAGGTGCAACTAAATTGCTCATGTATTTAATGGTTAGTAGAGGCAAAATTGGACAAGGAAGGAAGGATATTGATTATGTTTGGCGAAGTGACCAACATGACATTATGTGACAACTAACTTTGAAATCATGAGTGGTGACAGAACTAATTCTTTAAGGCTCTATGTCAAAGAATTTTTCCAAGCTGTGTTAGAGTAGCTTTCATTCTACAAGTAATGGTTCTACGTTTCTACTTGGGTTCTACTTTGAGATCGAGTCTCTGAGGAGGTCCAACATTTCAGAGAACTGGTTTAGCAGTTAGCTTTTTCTGGCGAACTGAGTTTAAGATTTCAAAGAAAATGTAAGCCAATGTTTCTCAAAAAATGTATTTTATATAAAAACAACGTTGAATATAATACATATAATTTATAGCCGGTAAATCAAACTAAATAAGGACCCAATTGGAGTTGCTTCCACTTAGTTGGCAGCTTTCCCACCATTTTGGTATCAAAAGAGTTCAGGAATCCAGCAGCTGGAAAAATATTAGCAATGATTAAATATGTGTGAATCACAACTTTGGTAAATTCATAGTTTATGTTCTTCATAGGTATTTTTTCACCCTTAGAATCAGGAAATGTGCTAGCTTACAAAAGTAGCATTAGCTAAAACGCTACAAGCTGCAATAACATGTCTTTTTTTTAACAGAAGTAAATGAGAGGTCAAGAGAGACGAATGAGCAGCTGCGAGAGTATCACTACGACGGCCTCTATCCTCGATTCTACTGGTTTCACTGAATACGTGACTTCGTGTAAAGATTTCCACCTCTTCTTTATAGCAACAAGGCGCCTGTAACAACGGCAAATGGCTGATATATGAGAGCAAGCGCTAAAGTTATTCACATGTGTAAGACATTAAGCTACGTTAAGTTTTCCACAAACCTTAACCTATTTTCATAATTTAGAAATTGTGCCATATGTGTAAAGTGTTTTAATTGTGCAGTTTTTCTATGGGAAGCTATGAGTATTGCATGCTTTTTAAAATGGTTCTTACATGTGCATACTGTAGGAACTACACAGTGCAGCTGATGGCACTGTGTGGTTTGTGCTGACTTTCATGTATTTAAGTTGCAAAGGAATAAAGACCAGGTTCCATGAGGCTACCTTGCCTCCACAATGTCTGGTATTTGGAGTATTCGAAAGGAGGGAAGCGGGGTGGAAAAATAAAAATGAAGCAAGCTGCTGAAGCCATCAGGCTGCAATGAATCTCACATTCCAGAGAGGAAATATCTGACACACACTGGATGGAAGAGACCAACAGAGGAGTGAGAAAATCATATAAAGACGACAAAGTATTAGTGCTGAGAAATGATAATCCCAAAGAAAACCATAGAGCAACAGTTATTTTATATCTGCACTGGGTACTGTAGGTCTTAAAGCGAAGAGTTGCAGGAGAGCCAAATGGATTTAGCAGTAGAGCTGCCAACACACACACACACACACACACACACACACACACACACACACACACGCACACACACACACAGTTGTGTTTTTGTGACTTGTGGGAACTTTACATTGATTTCCAATCATTTTCTACAACCTAAGTTGTAGAAAATGATTTGGGTTAGGGGTTTTGATTGGGGTTAGGTCACATACCTAACCCCCAACCCAAAAACAGCATTTCCTCCTATGGGGTCCAAGAAAATGTCCCCACAAGGAGCAATGGTCCCCACATCCCCACACTGTAGACAGAAATAGGTTCCCACAAGGATATAAAAACCTAGTTCACACACACACACACACAAAGTGGTAGAGAGCGTTTGCTGATTGATTCCATGCATCAATTCACTGTTCCAAGAATCCTACAGAGCCAGAAGGTTGTATTTTTATAGAGCGATGTCATCTCTTACTCTGATTGAAAGACTTCACAGAACCTCCTGTGTTCAAGTTTTTGAACTTTAATAGTTATGGTGCTGCTGCCACACTGCAACAAATCATTTTATATGTAAAAATACTAAACACACTGTGAGCTGTTCAAAAGTATTAAAGCTACAGTACAAAACTTATAAGAAATGTTTTTACATATTTATTGAAACTGTCTCTATGACGTGACATTGTGGCATGAGACATGTTTACAAAAAGAAAAAAGAGATCCCCCGCCTTCTGCCATTAATCACAACCAATCAGAGGCAGGAGGTGGGTCTTAGCGCTGTCTATCATGCTTGTGATGACATAAGTTATACTTCTGTGTTTTTCCTAAATCAGAAGTTATTTTTTGAGTAGGGTTACACTTAGTTGACCTCTTTTTTTAATCAGGGCCATTATATTTTGAGTTTGTCAACTTTTGGAAAAATAAGTTATTAAATAATAATTCTATAACTTTGCATCCACTTTTTCAAATTCTCCAAACATCCTCTTTTGATTTTCTTAAAAGACAGTGTAGAGGAAAATAAACTATTTCAATAATTTTTCTCTCATTTTTACACCCAAAGTTTTCAGGTTAACTTTTCCATTAGAAAGGATAAAAACAGACTTTTACATGACACTTTGTAAAGTCTTGCTTTATTCAGCCTGTTTACAAATTCAATACCTGAAACGTCTGAATATTCTTTAAAAAAACATTTAAATTTAAAATTTGATTTAAAAAAATGTTGCTACATAATTATACAAACTTAACACTCGTTCCTCTCGGTGGTGAGAGTTCATTTCAAGCTGTTGAGGAACTTGGCGTGCTCCTCTCCTCGAGGCTGGAGAAGCTCTCCTCCAATCTTGGGTCCAGTTTTCTCCTGAAAGAGAACATCCAGAACCTCAGCTCAGATCTCCCAGCATGCATTGTGCTTCTCCTCTCCTGTGGTTCCGTCTTACCTTCAGCATCCCGTCTCGCTCCCATTTAAACAGCCCACAGTTGCTGGAAATGACATCAGCTCAGTTTAGTCTGCGGTTCTGGGTGAGCGTGAAGAGGAGGAAGAGGAAGAAGAGGAGGGGTCTCCGGGGTTACCTGCAGTGTTTGTGTGGCAGTCTGTCCAGAGCGATGGCCCTCTGTCCACAGGGACATCTGAAGAAGCGCTTGACGGCGTCGTGCCACCGCAGCTCATGGTTCTCAGTCACGCAGCGATCCGCCGGCTTGAAGTAGGTGTAGCTGCACTGGAGGTGTAGGAGTGAGAAGGTGGAGAAAGAATCAGACTCCGTAACGACAGATGGAGGCGTTCCTAACGGCAACGCCACGGTGTACCTTTCTGCAGGTGACAGCCCGACACTTCATCTCTCTGATTGCCTTCATCTTCTCCTCCATCTGCTCCTTCTTCACCAGAACATTGAAGTAGCGCTCCTGCAGCTGGTACTCTGACTGCAGGAAGCAGGAAGCAGCCTCAGTTATCTGGATCTCTCCTTAAAGCTAAACATACAAAAAAAAGTAATAAAATCTCTGTTTGTACCGCTTGGAGCGCGACGCTGTGACGAGATTTGGCGCTGAGGATCTTCTGGAACTCCTCGGACTCGACGTAGCGCTGCTGCTCACGTTTCTTTTTCAGGGCGGGCTCCTCCTCCTCGTTACCGGACGACCCGCCTGAGCAGGTGAGACAAAGGAGGAGTTCTTTAGGTACTCAGAAATCATTTCAACCAAGGATACAAAATATTAATCAACTTATGATTAATGGTTTATTAGATTAAAAAAGTCTCAAATTGATTAAAAAATATCTGCTTCTTTCAGTGTTGTAGTTTGGCAGCCGTCCAGCAGAGGGCGCCACTGGTCATGCAAAAGCAGAACCAATTGTTTGTCCTCAGCATCTCTGAAGCTGAGGACAAACGTTAAGTTGAGGAGGTGACTAAACTACTTATAGTCACCTTCCAAAAATAATGGCCTGTCATTTTTGCCAAAAGTAATTGTTGCAAATAAAAATCATTATAATAATCACCACCTCCTTTTTTGCCAAAAGATTACAAAGTAAATGCAAGGCTTGTGTAACTGACATTGTTACCTTTTATTTAAGTTTGATATATAATCAAATTATGACATTTAGGTGTTTTTTTTCCATGTTTTTTTTCCAGCTAATAAGTTTATTTAAAACAGGAACAATGTGCAAAAAATATTAATAAAAGATGCCCAACACCAGATTTAGCTCAAACAGGTTTCCATCTGTGATCCCAGAGCAGGTGAGCTAATAAAATAGTATATCAGAAAACATATATTGAAAGTCATGTTTTATGTTTTGCCAATATATCCTAGTTTCTGAGAAAACCACAATTTTCTGTTTATTCAGTCAGTATTTAATAAAGCTTAACACAAAATTTTAAATTGTATTAATTTTATAAAAATTCTATATATTATGAAAAATTTGCCCTTTATGTTTTAGAAACACTTCAAGCCATCTTGATACAAGGGAAAATGCAGGTTTTTAATAAAATTGCTGCTTATCAATTAATTGTTAGCCGGTCGATAAGATCAGTTAACTTTAGATGAACTTAATTTATCATAACTTAAAGTGTGAACACTTCTGTACGCACCATTTGGGGACGTCCGATTCTTCTCTACTCGGGTGTTGATGTCGCTGCTGTCGCTCCTCTTCCTCTTCACGGCGTTGGGGTCTTCCCTCTCCAGCACCGCCCCTTTCCCCCTCAGCTTCTTCAGAGCGGCCAGCTTGGCGGCTGATAGGCTGAGAGCGCTAGGGGGCGGAGCCTGAGGCGGGCTGTTGTCAAAGAAGAGAATGTCGTCCCCTTTGGAGAAGCCGCGGCCCAATGTCGGGGCATCCGACGTCGCCGTGGGAACCTCCGAGGCAGCCTTTGGGGACGTCAGACCGGCTCGGCCCGGCGTTGTAGCGGTGCTTCCTGGGTTCTGCGGCGCCCTCTGCTGGACTCTGTGCCGGCGGCTCTCCAGGAGCTCCCGCTGCTTCTGTTTCTGCTGCTTTAAGAGGTCGGACGCAGAGATGGACTGAAGCGCAGCTCCGGATGTATTTCTGGAGGCTGAGGACAAACATCAAGTTCAGGAGGAGTATTGTTATTTTTATTCTAATACTTATTATTATTATTATTCCAACCCAGCTGGTTGTCCTGCTCCAGGTGTTTCTTCAGCTGCAGAGCTCCTGGGGTTGGTATCGTCATCAGGCTCTTAAACTCGTTGGAGCATCCAGAAACTTCCCCGGACTGCATACCTGGTAATCACCAGAAAACTGAGGTCTCACATCAGATGTTTTTAATAAACAGCTCAACTTTTCTCTGTATTTATTAAAGACATAAAGCGAAAACGCTGAGTGCTGAGGTGAAGCATACAGGCAGCGTACCGATCTTCTTGGCCTGACTGATGAGCTGAGCCGATCCTCTCACAAACAGCTTATCCAGGGTTTTCTGGACCGGTTTGGTCGGTTTAGATGCAGTCCTGCAACACACTTCACTAGTTACTGAAACTGCAGATGTGTTTTACTGAAAAACTAAAAAAAAATCTGAATTATTTTCAACATTATTTACAAAACAAACATCTGAAACATGGTGTGTGAATGTGTCTGTTGGAGCTTTGTACATTTAGAGCTCAGCCAGAGTCTGGAAACATCAACACTCAAGATGTTGGCAGGCAGACTGTCCAGTAGCAGTCAGTGTTGCAACAATTCTGAAGAAACCTCTGACTCAAGACTGTTGCTGTTTGACAGACTCATAACTGCCATGACATGCTAACAGCTCAATATCCTACATGAAGTGCATGGCTTATGTTTTGGATTATTATTTGTAAAAAGAAAATATGAAAACCATGCAGAATTTTCTTCCTACTTCACAATTATGCACAACTCCATGTTGATCTGTCATATAAAATACATATACAATATTCATGGTTGGTTAATGTTTCACCAACTCAAATTTAAAAGCTTTTTAAGACCATTATGAATGGAATTGAAGACTTGCATCTTCACAGAAATGTACGAACGTTGTCCAGCTAACTGGAGATGAATTTTCACTTTCCCATGATTGATGTAAAAGTAGCTAGCTAGGTAGCAAGGGTATATTAGCACCTAGGTAGTGGTATTCTCAACTGCCTCAACTCAGAACGCGGGCAACTCAAACTCTTGCCTGACAGAATTTGACAGTCCCATGAGGAAAAGAATAAATAAATTAAATATGAGATTAAATAGTCCTGCCACTACTAACTTTTATTTAATGTATTTAAGACACTTTAAGGCCTTAAAATGTAATTTTAGCTACATGGATTCCAGACTTTTTTGTGAAACTAAGCCTGAGCTGAGTAGAACCTTTACAATAAAGAACATTAACTTGGATTGTAGTTTCAGCAGGACTCACAGGGAGGCGGCGCAGGCAGCAGAGGAGACCCCCCCGTAGTAAAAGCCGTCCTGACACAGACGCTCTCTCAGGCTGCCCCCCTTCCCGCTCCCCTTCACCCGGTTGGGGGCTTTCCCGGAGAACGACGACTGCAACTCGGCCCTCTTGGAGCTCATCTTCTGGTACTGGGCCTTGACGTGGTACTGGCAGTACTGGCACTCGTACTGCAGAGAGGGTCAGGTGGTTAGCATCGGACGAGACAGCCGGATTGGAACAATAATGTTGCAGCAAACGGAGGGCTACCATGTTAACGATCTGAGAGCACGGCTCCCCGCTCTTCTTCACTGCCTTGCAGGTCCCAAAGTCCAGAGCTTCCCCCATCACCAGAACCTTCTGAGGATGATCTACCGTCAGACTGACCTGCAGGGCAACCAGGGTGTTAGCAGCGAGGGACGATTGGGAATGAAGCTCAGTTTCAGAGTCTCTAAGGGTGCATTCACACCAGCCCTGTTTAGTCCGCTTTAACTGAACTCTAGTTGGTTTGCCCAGAAGGTCCTGTCTGTTTGGGGAGGTTGGAACACACAATAGAACTCTGATCATCCTAAAAAAAATTTGTCTGGGTTGAACTGAAATGAAGTCTGGCTCAGTTTGAATGCATATGTGAACATCAAGCAGACCAACAACTGCTCCAAAAGCAGAAAGCAGATGCTAACACAAAGAATTCTGGGTAAATACAGCCATAACAAACATGTAAACATAGGACTCGCGGGAGAAAAAGCTTGTACATCTGCTAAAATATAAGGCCACTACATTTTTGTTTACATTTTGGGATGAAGATAGTTGTGCTCAGTGTCTTGCTATGAGGTTTTCCTGTCTTTTCCTTCAGTGGTTCTTGGTGCAGCACCACCACAGGTGAGGAGGGGAACAGGTAAGGAAAAAATTAGTTTGGATGGTTTGACTCAGTATGAAAATGAACCACACCAGCTGGAAATAGACCAAATGTTGCAAGTTTGGCCCCCAATCAAACCGAGTCTACTGGACTATCAGGTGTGAAAACACTCTGAGAGTGTGTACCTCACCCCGTCGTAGCCGTCTCTCTGCTTCATGGGGTTGGGGTTCAGGATTCCTATGACCGTGCCAGGTTCCATCTTCCAGTGCTCCTTGTGGACGTCACCGAACAGCAGCAGGGACACAAACACGTCCAGGTTGTGGAGGTCGTTCAGCTTCCAGACGCTGAAGGTTTTGCCCTGCAGAGAGAAGGTTGAGTCATGAAACCAATGGGAGGTCAAGGGTCGGGCGGTCATGGTAATAACATAAAGCATCACAACATACACTGCTGCTGCTTTGGGGCGTAGCTTTGCTGACCAGCACGGCGAACGTCACCCAGTCGCTGTCCTCCAGCTTCTCCCGCTTCAGCCGCTCCGGCACCTGGGACAGCCGGATCAGCCGCCGGTCGGCCATCTTTCGCTCCATCTCGCTTGAGGAAACCCGCGGCTTCCTGATGAAGCATCGACCAAAAGCATCGGTTCAGACTTCAGTGCTCCACAACTCAGTGAACCAATGACCATCTAATTCTATGTTTTTAAATAGCATTACACAAGCTAGCGGCTCTGACCTGAGCCGCAGTCCTGAGTACTTCTCCACCCCTATGTCTTTAGGAACAGGAGGCAGAGCCGCTGGCTTAGATGGTTTAGGTTCTCCACCCGCTGTGGTTCGAGTGTGGGAGGGAGGGGGTGAGAGCAGGCGATCGCACGGCTCGCTGGCGCTCTCTAGTGGTTGGAAGGAGCTGCCGATCTTCACCTCCACCAGTGGTTTCCTATACTCTGAAAACAGCACATATGCGCAACATGAAATCCAAGGACAGCTTTCATTCAGAGCTGAACAGACCGGGGTGAGTCAAAGAGTGAAGGTGTGACCTGGAGGTGAAGCTCTGGCTTGGTGAGCCACTCTTAGTTTACGTTTGAATGAGTCTGCGTTGCTGAGCTGAGAGAGGAAGTCTGAGGATTCCTGCAGCTTGGAGCTCCCCCCTGTGGCCGGAGCGGATAAAGACGCTGAAACTGGAAGAAAAAGTCACAAGAACATCCACTGGAAATACAGAACTGGTGAAGAGTTTACAGCACCGATGGTATTTACTCTGGGTCTTTAGGTTTCAAAGTTCTGCTCTGATTTATTGATTTTAAAAATGATTGGAGTTTATTGTTGCATTTTTATACACATACATATAAAAAAAATCATAATAAATAAATAAAGCAAATTATAAATTGTAAAACAATGTAGCAAAACAAATAAAAATCATTTTAAAAGTTTATTATTGCTTAATTATAATGGGGCTTAAACAAGTAATACAAAAAATAGTAAAAATGTGTTGCTCAACTGTAAATAACCTTTTTTTTTTTTTGCTTAAATACAAACATTTAAATAAATTATGATAAATTCAAACAGTTAATTTTGGCTTAATAAATAAGAAATAATTAAATAAAAGTTTTTAATGATAAAATAGTTAAAAAAGGAATCTTTTTTTTCTCTCAAAAGATACATTTACTGTTAATTATAAAAATACTAAAAAGAAATCAAAATAATAAAAGAAATTTGTCGATTAATAAATAATCTTAAATCAGACATTTATTGTTGCATAATTACGAATGTAACAAAAAGAAAACAGAAATTATAGAAACAAACTTTGATGTTTAATTATATAAAAATAATGATAACAAATACATAAGCTATATAAAAAGAAGTTTATTGTTGCTTAATCATTCCACATCACAACCAACAAGGTTTGAATTCATCCCTAAAAGCCAATCAATGAGTGTTTTCCTGGCCCTCCAGCAGCAGTGCAGTAGAGCTCAGTAGAGTTGCTAAGCAACACGTTTACCTGCTTGTAGTTCAGCTTTGGCCCGGCTCGGTTTGGACGCTGGGTTCTGGCTCGGTGTTGGCTTTGATCTCCCTGCTTTGGGAGAAGCTGAACTGTTCTGAGTCGCCTGCAGCTGCTGCTGCAGCTTCTGCATCTGTTCCTGCATCCTCCTCAGCTCCTCTGCAGAAAACACAGGGACACATTTAATAAAGCAAAACAAACAAATAAATAAATAAAATAAATCCTCAATGGAACAGAAATCAAATCTGGAGTGAAGTGATGTGAGACAAACCTTGCAAATCCTCTTTGGACCTGTCCAAGTCGGGGCAGGATTCTCTCTCACTTCCTTCTCCCTTCACGTCCTTCTCCTCGTTTTCAATGTCCTCAACGTCCCCAAAGAGTTCCGACACGGCGTCCGTCCCCTCGCCGTCCTCTTTGTACTCTGCATCGTCTCCGTTGTCCTCATCGAACAGCCCGTCCAAATCGTCTGCCTGCGGTTCGCCGGTTTCCTCGCTCTCGTCCAGGAGCGCGGTCAGAATGTCCAGGTCGTCCTCACCTGAGGGGGAAAAAAGCCACTAAGTATTAAACTCCAAAAGTCTTTACTTTATTGTGTGTTAAACTTTATAATACTTACTGTCCATTTTAGAGGTGCTGACTGCAGCTGATCTCAGATGGCAATTCTGACATGAAAAAAAGTTTAATTATCTGTGAATCTGAGATGACAGAAATATTTCAGCTTTTGAATTCATAAAATGAAAACAAAATCTAGGAGAAACTTAAAAATGGTGGTTGTTACGTTATAAACTGTGAAAAAGGAAAAAAAAAAGGTTTGAATTTTAGCAGATCCTAAAATCAATTCATTTATACAGACAAACATAACTATTCATATTACATCACTGTGAAATGCCTGGCTGTTTCAGATTCATCCAGCAGGCTCTGTGTCTCTGACAATCAGTTGTGGGACAATTTGTGTTAATATTAAATGTAAAAATATGAATAAAGGCCCATCCTGTCTGAACCCGACTGGTGCAGAACCGCCATGTATTTAAAGGTTAAAGGCTTGAGAAACGGAATGCTTTCAACAAGTATGCATTACATTCTTCACCGACGTCACAGTAGTAAAATGCTAATCCAAACAGCTAACACATGATGCACGTCTAAAATTAATATGAACAATAACACTGTTTATTTACGGAAATACATTCTACTTTCGCGAACACCCTGACAATTGTTTTTTTTTTTTAAATATTAAAAATAAAGTACTTTCTCTCCATGTCTGACTCCAAATGAAAGTCGACGCTTACCTACGTTCGTCGCTGCTCGGGTTCCTGTCTTCTGCTGCCGGTGACACCAAACCAAATATTAGAACCTCATAAAATATTACTTTGTTTTCTTTAGGACCGTCTTCCCGACCAAACCAGGCGGTAATTCATTTCATTCACAGAATCGACTAACTGCTTCCTCACACAGAGGAAAATCTAAACTGGCGCTAAACGAAGGACCCAATGTATTGTCAAAGAGGAGAAGGGTGTCCAGTGATATGCCTCATTAAAAAAAATGAGTAGAAAAAGAAAATTGGATTTAGACCATTTTGTCATCTGGAGAAGTATTTGAGCGTCATATATTAATATTATATAATCTTTATTCGATTTTAGCTTAACAAAAAGTACATTTTAAATGGGACAATATTTAAGTTAATTTTTAAAGGGTGGATGTGAAACATTTTTGTGCTAAAAATAATTGCTAATAAATTACTCTGGCATTTTTGTTTTCTGGACCTTTTGTGATGCAAGAGTGGCCATAACAGCTTATGAAGTACTACAGGGATCTGATTTAATTTGCCCATTCACCAATGCGTATTCTCATTTCATTTTAAAGCCTAATAATTTTTGTCTAAATATGTACATTTTACAAACCTCTTATTTTATTCTCAAGATGTTTATTTCCATTGTATTATTTTTTAATTTAAAAATGTATCTGTCCCCTCTATTGTATCTTCACATGTAATCTTTGCCCAAAACTTTTCTCCTACTGACTCCCATTATTACAATATATTTTTGATATATGGCAAAACCCCATTTATTATAAAGCTATCTCCATGACTACCTATCTAAACCTTTGGCTTCAAAATAAAAGAAAAACTAAACAATAAAAAAAATCTATATCTAAAGAAAAGCTAATTGTTAACTGTAAATCATGATAAGGTAAAACTCAGACAGAAATTCTCTCATTTTATTAGATTTTTTTTCCCATAGAATTCCAAACCTTTAAAACTTACAAGGTATACAGAACTGACAGTTTCCTGGATATTCATAAACCGATCAAATATATTATGTTCTAATTACAGAATTTCTTCTGCTTAATAGAAAGAAAATATGTGCCTTCATATTACCCATCCTCTCCAGACTGACAGAAAATCCAATCAGGAGCTTAAATGATGATCAGAGACTCCATAAAATCTCAAAGCATTTAGAAATGCATACTTGGTACCATGGTAGGACATGTCCGCCATGCAGATTTACATTTTTTCTCACTTTTCAGCTCAGATCGCGCAGAGATCACAAACCCCAAAACATTTTCTTATATTCTTTAACTGAACCTTATTTAATTGCACAACTAGGAGTGGTAGAATGTTTTCATGCAAAGCCAGGCTCCTGTGCGAACCCAGGCCAGTATTTACAAAAGACAAGTATGGTAAAAAAAAAAAAAAGGGGACCAAAAGATGGGAAAAGATTTAAGGTGACATCTATATTAAATTAGTAGATTAATATTTTTTTTTTTAGATTTAAAAGACTGTCCTAGCATAACCAGCTTCAATATATGGAATGCCTGAAATGCCAAGACAAAACGTGTCAAAAAAAAACCAAACAATAACAAAATAGCATGAAAGATTTCTACAGGGTAATTTTGAGACAGGATGTGGAGCAACGTGAAAACCAAACGTTTGACTTTTAGAAGGGGATTTCTGACGGCTATGGTCAATATTAAATATTGTGCCATAAGATGGAAACTGGCATGTGTGGCGATGTAAACCTTCGGTTTGCTTGTTTTACTACAAACACACAAGAAAAAAAAATCCACGCTAGTGTTTTGGCTCATGCTGTTCTGCACTGTGGAGCCTCTTCTGCTGCTCTCTCAGGTTTCAGTTGGCTGTAGAACAAACAGGAGCTCACTTTACATTTCCTAAATGTGACATATATGCTTCCTACTCGTGTCCTGCTATGATGAGACATTTTACAACATTTATGGTGATTTTATTTACGTGGCAAATTGATGGTTTTTTCACCTGCCTTTTTCAATGGCGCCAAGTTGTGATAATGTTGCCCTAAAATCTATACATTCTGAGAAAGATTACTTTTTTTTTTTACAAAGTGAACAAACTAAAACAAAAAATAACAATAATAATATAAAAAAGAGGGTTTATTTCCAGCTGGATTTATCAAAAGCCAACTGTTGGGATTGGCTGGTACGCACTTTTTCAACCCCCAAACTACAGCGGGCCTGGATCGATGAAGCCTCTTTAGACTTCCATCCAGAAACTATGAGATCCTTGGATCCTACATGATAGGACACAGGGAGGTACAGTATGGGCGAGAGCAGAGGAAGACTTGGGTAAAGGTGCTCCTGGTGAGGTGAGGAAGGTCTAGTTGATGCAGTCCATGATGTGGATCTGCAGGGAGTCCAGGTCTGGAAGGATCTCGTTGCATTTGGGGCAGGCGTGTTCAGGAATGTTGCCCTGGTTCCAGTCAGTACCTGAATCACACTCACACGTTAAGAACGCTCTCAGGGATTTTACTCTGTTAGCTATGTCAAAGGAAAATGTGTGGCTTTATCAGCAGAACTAAACTCAGCTTACCTCTTCCTACAAGACTTGCATCAGGCCCATGCGAGCCGGATGCAGTGGATCCGTGTCTGCGCTGCATTTCATTCAGAGAACGCCTGGAGGACAGTAAGAGAGGATCAGATACATCCGCTGGAGGTCATTGGGATTAAAGTGACCACAAGAGAGAGACAAAGTCCATTGTTTTTGCTGGGTGAGTTGAAAGCAGGGCGTCTCCTGTGTGAGCGTTGCGTACCGGCCCAGTGAGTCCATGTCCTGCTGCAGCTGCGTGTTCTGCTTCTTAATGAACTCCAGCTGCGCAGCCAGGCGCTCCTTCTCCTCGTGCAGCTTCTCCCTGGCCGCTCGCTCCGCGTAGAAGTCCGAGGAGTACACCTCGGCCTGTGGGCCGGGACAGAACCGAAACTGTCAAACAGGCTTTAGAAAAAAACTACAAACTCAGGTCATCCAGTCACTTTATTCTCAACAGGCTTTCCAACTAGAAGGAAGACAGTCTGGGACTGGGGAATAATTTGCTCGATAGTTACTAATCATCCCCCTCTTCATTTTAGTTTCTGTTTCGTTTTGTATTTGGTGTGTCATCCTCTAGTCTGCAAAGCAGGCAGTGGATTAAACTGGGAAAAACCAGCCTCTGTTTGTCACTCTCCACCATGGCGGTTATTATTTAAATAAATCTATTTTTTGGACCCGCTGGTTTTCTGTTCCAGGTTGAAGTAAAAAAAAATTGCTGCTACACTTGGAAATGTAAAAGTTTTGCTTGCGCCATTAAAAACAGCGTTTATAATAATTATTATCTTTTTATTACTGCAAAAAAGAGATTAACTCACAGGCCAAAAAAAATGACAATAAACAGCTGGTGAAGGGCGTGGCCTATCGACTTTGGTCTATGGATTCGTCCAATCAGCATGGTAGCTGGTACGTTCACATCGCCGTGTTTTCCTGGGTTCATTTTGTTTTCTAACCACATGCACCAACCTGAGCCTGGAACACAGAGATGGTCTCCAGCTCCTTCTCCTTCTGGAACATCTCCTGCTTCATGTCGTCGATCTTGTTCTGCTTGACGGCCAGCGCCTCCTCTGCAGCGGTGAGCCGTAGCTGCAGGTCCTCCACCAGGTTCCTCTCCACCATGTGGGACTGCAGGGCAGCGCAGCATGTTGGCATTTGGTCAGAGGAAAACCAGAAAACACCAGAGTGACCCTCTGAAAACACACCTCCTTTCTCTTCTTCTCCTCTTTGAGCTCGTTGTAGTCCTCAAACAGTTTGGTGTACGCGTCCTTCAGCTGAGCCAGGTTGTTCCTGTGAGGAAGAGGAAGGAGCAGGACCATCTGGATGAGTCCAGAACGTTTTACAAACAACTTCATGTTGGGGTTGAAAAACGTCTCACAATATAAGCATTTTATATCAGTCCATATTGATAATTATTGATAATTAATGATTACTTTTTTGTTTTAAATATCTGAAATACTCAATTCAGCTCCCTCTATTTCTGCTACCTGCTTTTAGAAGTTATATGTTTTTTAGAAATACTTCTCTGTAAATCAGCTCAGGCTCGATCAGATTGGCTGTTTAACTCGTGAACATCCATTTTCAAGTTTTGCTGCAGATTTTCATTAGGACTTAGATTTGAACATTAACTAGGCCAATCTAACCACTGCCACTCTTAGTTGTGTATTTATCGTCAGTCTTGCAAGTCAGTCTGGACCTCCATCGACTCTCTCCAGCTGGACTGAAAGCATCCCCACAGCATGACACTGCCATCGGCCATAGCAACGGCCCGTTTGTGTGCGGCTGGTCTGCACCAACCTGTCGTCGTCGGCCTTCTTCTGCTCCAGCTGGCCCTGCGCCTGCAGGCTGCCCAGCTGCAGCTTCAGCCGCTCGTTCTCCGCCTGCACCGCCTGCTTCTCCAGCAGCTGGGCCTTCAGCGTGGCCACGTCCTGCTCCACCTCCCGACACCTGACACACACACACACACACACACACACAAAGTGGTCATCTTTCTGTTGTTTGTGTCTGTTTTCTAGTTGTGATGCACACAGAGTTAGCATAGCAGGCTAACCTGTCCTGCAGGTTCTTCTTCATGCCTTCGGCTTCGTCCAGCTTGCTCTGCGCCTGCTGCAGGTCCCGGAACAGCGTCCTCACCTGAGACTTGAGGTTCTCCACCTCAGACGCCGCCTGGAGCAGAGGACAGTTTAAACACAACCTGCTGCTGCTGGAGGAAATGAATAAACACACAGACACACACACACACACACACCTTCTCCTCCTTGGCAGGGTCTTCCTTCACCTCCGTCTGGGTGGTCTTCATGGTTTTCTCCACTTTATAGTTCTTCTCCAGATCCTGGATTCTGTTGGATAAAATCAGACATTCTGTAGCAAAAGAAACGTGACGATGTTTTGTGTTAAGTCCTTTAAAGGTTTCTCATCACATTTTTTATCATTTATCGGAAAAAATGTCATCTTTTAATTCATCATTGTCATGATTAATTTGAATTACTGATGATAAACCTAAAACAAAATCGACTGTATGACTGGAAAGGCTATATTTGCGATCATCAACAAATATCAGCAAATTATAAAATATGATTAAATACAATTGCTGTGCTCAACTTAGTGAAATAAATCAAATTTGTGTTAAGTAAATGGTACGAAGAAGAAGCTTATTTCCACTGTAGGCACAAAAAAGAGGAGTAAAT